GTTCATTGCGCTGTAATTAACTGTGACAACATTCCTATGAAGGTTCCCTCCGGTCTTGTTGACACTGAGCCATCTGTGGTTGAAACTCAAACCTGGCGCTCTCTGTATTAAATATTGTTCTTAAAACTTGCTGGCTTCAACACAAGACTAGGGCACATTGGTCCAAAAACAACAATAAAAAATAGTAAATCACAGACTGATGATATTTAAAAAAAGCTCCCATTTGTTTTGTAATGAAGCAAACTAATTTTGGAGGGGGTCTGTCAGATGACTTCCAGACTAACAAATATTCCCCCTGTTTGTTTGTGTGGGCGTTTGGTATGTGTTGGACCCATTGTTATCTGTACTTGACACAGAAAAAGAGAAGTCACTGTTTTGTATATGAAACCGAGGGCTGGGTCCAGGCTAGCCTTTCCCAAACGGCTTTTTGTGCATTCTCCTGTCTGCCTGTAGGGTGTTTCTGTTCGTGTCATGATAATTTGAACTGGGGAAATGTCAGTTCTGTGTTTAAACGTTTGCATGAGGCTACATGTCAAAGACCTACATCTCACATTCTGCGACAGAGAAAGAGTGTGAAACCTAAAAGTTTTGTTTTCTATCGTTATGTCACTGGAAGAAGATCAAATCTGTCCAGTCGCCTCTTGTCTGTATTCGGTGTGTTTTCACACAGGCAGAGTGTAAACTGTGTTTCTCCAGTCTTAATGTATTCTGTCTTGTTTTGTGTGTTTGTGCCATCTTCCCCAGCGGTGTGTTGGCTGCAGTGTCAGAACGGAGGAGTGTGTCAGCGGCCCAACACCTGCTCCTGCCCCGAGGGCTGGATGGGTCGACTTTGTGAGGAGCGTAAGTGTTTCACCTGTCTAAAAGAACTCCGTATCACAGTGTCACAAAATGAACAACCAGAATGTTATCTTTAGTGTGCTTCAACTCACGGACACCAGGAACTGAATCAGCTGGCTAAGCAGGTTTTACCAGACAATGGTGCACAAAGAGAGTCGGAGGCAGAGGGACGAGGTTGTTTTCTGCTGAAAATGAAAGAGTTGTTTCTGCTTCAACGCAAACATTTTATAGGTGTTTTGTTTCCTGCTCTGAATAAAGAATTGGAACTGAATCACAACGAAGGTCAACAGCCTGCAAATCTAATAACACTGTCAGCCTTAGTTGTACTGTGTTTAGTCAAACTTACCAAATACTGGCATGCTAGCACATGAAAGTGAGATGCTGGACATGGTGAATGTAATAACAGCCAGTCATCAATTTGTTATCCCTGTCACTGTGAGTAAGTTAATTTAATTTAGCTCTGAGCAGCGTTATCTGGTGCTGCCTTGTAGAGCTGCTAACATGGCTGCAGACTGTTAGTTCTATTAAATATACTAAAGAAGGGAAGCATTTGGTTTCAAATAAAACAGAGTGGCTCAAGGCTTCTTAAATGGTTTGTCAATTAAGTGATAAACGGTTAAACAATCAATTACCTGCTTGGGTTTAACTAGTTTGTCATTGACTTTAAATACCAAAGTTCTCTCGTTCCAGCTTCTTAAATGTGGGGATTTTTTTGCTTTTCATTGTTTTACATAATTGTAAATTGAGTACTTTGTTTTTTTTTTTTTACTATTTGTCAGACTAAACAATTTCAAAACAGACCACAGACTTTAAAATATAACCTTTGGGGTGATGCTCTTTGGACACGTCTTCTTGAAACTCCAGGTGTATCATCAGCACAAAAACCAGCTTGCCTCAGGCCTGTGGGCGCAAGGAAATTGATGCCACAGCTAATTAAAATGTTTTGGATTTCAACAAAGGGAGACGAGTTTGATGAGCTCAAATAACTTCCTCATCCACTGGTCTCTGCTCTGCCTTCTTTAATAACAGCCATCTGCATCCTGCCGTGCCTGAACGGAGGGCGCTGCGTGGCACCCTACCAGTGCGAGTGTCCCACCGGGTGGACGGGAACGCGCTGTCACAGTGGTGAGTTCATGTGTGAGTCACTGAAGCGTTCGCATGTTTGGGCTGGTACATGTGTGAGTAAGCCCTAACAGAGTTCCCATTATCTCAGTATATCATCATCATCACTCTAATGGCACTAACCCAGGAGGATTTCTTTCTTTCTGTACTTGTATATATAACTTTTTTATTTATTTGGTAACCTAATTATAAGTGAGAGTTTTGTTGGTAATTTAGTAAATAATGGCACATTCGTTTTTATTGCTGCTCTATGCGCTAAAATATGTTATCTTATATTCTCATATTCTCAATCAAGAAAGAAAGAGAGGCACTCTGACATCTTTGTGTCATGAGTCAACAAGGTTTTGTTTCCTTGTAAATGTTTTTAGTTGGTGAGAAGTGCTGCAATCTGCAATCATCAACCGTTTTCGTTAAAGAGCTTCATAATTTCCTCATTGCCCAGCCAATGGGCATTACCTACCTGATCGTTAAAACAAGACACACAGCATATCTTCCCTCTCAAAACAATAAATGTACCAGAGCCAAAGAACTAGTAGTGACTGTGCTGATGTGTTTGTGCCTGACTCGTCCACAGCTGTGTGTTCGTCTCCCTGCCTGAATGGAGGCAGATGCATCAGGCCGAACAGATGTAGCTGCACGTCAGGTTGGAGTGGACACGACTGCTCCAGGTGATTAGAAACACACACACACACACACACACACACACACACACACACACNACACACACACACACACACACACACACACACACACACACACCCGAAACACAAAGAGGTCCTTCCAAAACTGAAAAACTTTTACTAAAAATGAAAATGCCTTGTGTGTAACTCCGATGCTTCCTCTGCAATGTGCAAATCTCTAAAATATCTGCCACTCTACTGCAGCTCGAGCGCATCAGCTCACCTGTGACTGCTGAAACACTATAGAATTACTTCTTGAGACACAATGGCAAGTTGTAGAAATGGAATAATTCATCCACACATGTTCGAACCAGAAACTGATTCTGAGGAAGAGTAATGGTGCAAAAAGCCCCACCCTGCAGATCCCTGACAGGATTGCTTCCTTAGGTTTGTGACAGATGAAACCCCGGAAGTCTGAATCTGTGTTTTTGAAAGTGGCATCAGTACACTGCAGTTTAAAGATGAAAATGATGTGGACTGCTTATTTTCTCATCATGTGCCTTCTAGCATATAAAAAACACAGGTTAAAAAAGTAGAAAACATCATTTTTACTGCATGGAGTCTTTAAGTTCTACAGTTTTATTGTATGCTAACAGTTAAAAAATAGTAGAAAAGGGTAATTAATTGTTTATAAATTCATAGTTTTATGGAGCTAAGTGTGTTTATAAAATTAATAATAGTGTCTTTAACTGTTTCCAAAACTAGGAACAGTTTTCAGTGAGTTAATTTGTTTAAAGGCCACAAGGTGACTGTTGTTGTTGTGTTTTAAAAAGAACAACTCCGCCTTTGTGATGATGAATGGTTTTTTACTACACTCATGCCAGCAGCTATGTGACGCTGTGCTCAGACACAACGATATTGTCAACGAAACGCTAATTTTAGCAGGTCTGCATGCTTACACTAGAATTCCTAACATGTTTAGCAAGTGCAGCCATTCAAGTGTTGGCGTCTTCCTCTTAGCACTAAACACAAAGTGCAGCTGAGTCTGATGGGAACAGTTTTGCAGGGATTTCCTCACATTTCGACCTGATGACGTGTAAACAGCCACAAGGAGTTGAAATGACCTCTTCAGAGGCTGTTGGTTACGGTAAAACACTTACTGGAGATTTAAAACCGTAGTAATGTGAGATGCTTCCATTCTGCACACTGCAGTCCAGCATGCTGCAGGATGCCTCTGCTGCCCACTCTTCTCTAGAACTGAACAAATAAGGCTTACGAGAAGTCCAAAGGTTTCGTATGAGTCACCACCAAGAGCCTCCAGTTAGAAATTAACAGAGGGTGCTACACTCCCTTTGGAAAAATACATAACATTTTTTGGGGGAAAAAAAGAAGCCTTCTTTATGCTGCGTAGCCCTGTATGACAAATATGGCAAACTTCCCATCTGTCCCTAGCGTGGTTTTAACCCACTAACCCAGACTATCTTCTGAATGACACGTGAGATAATTTGCCCTCCAGGCCAGTGGAGGCGTGTCTAACAGTCGGGGTTTCCCAAAGTTGTGACTCGAGTACATCTCGTCTGCTCAATCACGATTATTCCACACGTTAAAGTTAAGATCCTTCAATGTGCTTCTACTTCGTGCGAATGTGTCAAAACGGGTTTCCAGCTCAGCATGAGGATGTTGACATGAGAACAAAGCAACGCCTGAAACCATGTTTTGTGAAATAATAACCTCCTGCAACGCTTCCTCAAAGAAAACAAAAAGGGAGATAATGTATAGAAAGATCCCCGTTTCAATCCACAACCTGGGAATGCCACGGAGTGTTTACAGGGACAACGCACCGTCTCATATTAGTCATTTTTCTTTATAATTGATGGTAACAGAGAACCCTGTGTTGACGGGCGACGTGTAGCAACATTTCCTCTCAAGAGACTGTTTTGAAATGCATTTCTTCATCATCAACAGGGAAGAGGAGTTACTGTGAACCACAGTTGTGACTCAAAAACTGACTCCCGTTTAAACAGCTTTGACAGGACTAAACACAACCCTTTCTTCTTTCTCTTTGCAGGAAGAGGAAATCAGTATACTATCACTTCTAAAAGGTTCCACTCTGCTCCATGTGAATCATCTTATGAAGGGAATTCTTGTATAGTTAACTGACACACTTGTAAACCATTCACTCATCTCTCTGCAAAGGCAACGCAAGAACCATTTTGTAAAATAAAGCTGTATTTTTTCATATAGAGACTCAACAGTATTAAACATATGCTGCTATATACTTGTACGATGTGTAAAAACTATTGATGTGATGGTCCAATGTATATGTGTAAACTATTCTCACATTTTTATTAAAGCATAAAATACTGTTACTTGCTCTCTTTTGATCAGATTCAGGAAATTTTTACCAGCGACACGGTGAAGTTTCTGGAATTTAGCATTTTATTAAATCCACCTTTTTGAATACATAACGTACAAAGAAGTTGAGGAGTTGTCAGGAATAAAGCAGATTACTCAAGACAGAATTAAAAGTGGTCGTCCAGTTGGAATTAGATTTCAGCCCGCTGTTAAGACACTACACACTGAACTAACAGGACTATGTCACCCTTACGTGATGAGTGGAATAAATTATTGCCTGCGCGGGACACAAGACCTGATAGTTATTGGAAATGAAAGGGAAACTGGAATTCCTTCTTGGGCATGTACAGGAGGGTAACAGCTTCTATTGTAGTTTTGTACAGCGTGGGTGCGAGCGGATTGGTCGATGGGACTCATTATCTCAGAGCTTCCACTTTCTCTTTCAGGGTTTGTGGGTTAGCACCGGAGAACTCGTCCACCTGAAAGACAAGACGGTCATATAGTCACATAGATGTTGATATGATGATATGCTATCAGAAAACAGGAGGCTTAAGAAGCAAAGTCAGTTACGCAAGAAGAAAGTCTTCTAAACTAGTAATGCAGCTGCAGGAGGGAGTAGCTTAGATCACATACAGTTAGATGCCAAATAATGCCTCACTACACCAGGTGAATGCCAGAATTTCTCTTTAAAACCACAAACGGTATCCCTCCTTTGATGCACCGACCGGTTTTGCATATAGCTCATCGTTTCCAGCTCTGAACTGACTGTGAGCCAGCTGTGAATGTAGTTAATCACTGAGCAACAGAAACCTCAGATGTTCCCTCAGAAGTAGGTGGAGGCCAAAAGTAGACGACGTGAATTCACCTCAGATTAATCCCAACTGTACTCCCACTCTGCTGAACGAGCAACTTAGTGAGCTGATGCTTCCATCTTTTCAGTATATTTTGACGTACCTTTTTTCCGTTCTTGTAAAAGTAGAATGTGGGCATGCATTTGATTCCGCACTGAGCGCTCACGTCCTGCGAAGAGCAAAGAGAGCAACGGTCAGATGGATGGACTGAGTCATCAACACTGCTCTGGCTAACGTGAGTCTAGTGATGGTGTGCACGAGCCAAAGAGACCAGAACGTGTGTAAAGTCATACAGTGTACAATGACTAAAACAAGCAAAATGAGCCTCAAGTAAGCAGCAGAGCAACTTCAATAAGTTTTACCAGCTTTTGTTAAATACAGCTACACATGACCAACTTGTGGTGTGTCTGAAGTGTGGGCCTGCTTCAAATTTGTTCCACTTTGCTGAACTGCAAGTTGTGTTTGTTTAAGGAGCTGTCTATGTACCACATAGACAGCGACTGTTTGCAGAGACGGTTACAGGGCGAAGCTGGGATCTGGTCCAAGAGGCATTTTTTTACTTGTTTCAGTTGGAAACCTAAGACGGGTCAAACTCAGACTAACCTGGAACCTTAAAACCACCTGCAAAACTCTAAGAAACTCTGTAGATCTGGTTCTTAAAGCTCAGGCTTCTTTAAATTCAAAGTTTGGAGAATTCTTTTCCCTTTGGACTATGAATCCAGTATTTGATACTTGCAGCTGCTGATTTTCTTGTAATTTACTCCAAGTTGAAGATGGTAGGATTTTAGAGTGATGGTCTAATAAACAAGTTCTGTGCTCTGTAAAACCCTGAGTGGCATTTTCACAACTTTAGCATTCATACAACTTTGAAAATAGTCGGCACACGAACTGATAATCATTCATCAAATGGGGCATCAAAGGTTCATGTTCACAGAAAATACCTGAATTGGACCAAAACCTACATTATACAACATGATTGCAGTCCTTGTGCCAGAATATGTGTCAGAGGTTTACCACATGTGGTTACAACAGGCCACCGTGTCAGCCAGTCATCCTACAATAAGCTCCAAGTGTTCTTCAACAATGCAGGTCATGTTCAGGGTTTGTCAATTATTCATTTGCTTTTGTTATGCCTTAAGTTTCAATACAAGAAATAATACCAAGTAATGTTTTACTATGCTGTGGCACTGACACAGAAAAAACTTTGCACTCTCACTTATCACATGAGCCCACTGTGGTTCCTGGAGGCCTGGTGAAATGGATTTCATGAATAGTTGACATTGCTTTGAGTATTAATGGCACGGCAACCCCCATCATCAAAGGCAACACCACAGTCCCCTTCACAAACTTAAACTTCCTGATTGTCCAGAGTTACAAGGAAATAAAAATGCATTTAAAAAAAGAAGAGCAACACACCTCAGCCTCATCCACGTCCACCTTCAGGAAAACCACGTTAGCGTTTTCAGGCAATCCTGCCAATTTCTGCAAGAGAGTCAGTCAGTGAGCATTATGGATGAGTACAATGATGACACAATATACTGATGCGTGTCTGTTCCTGAGTGAAAATGAGTTTACAAGGAGGAGGGGGGAAAAAAAATCTACAAATCTAACTATGGTTCAATCATTTAAGTTACACAGAGCTATCAAAACTCTCAGTGAAGCAGGCATTTCCCACTCAAGGTGGAAACAGTGAGACAAAAGGTTGCCTCAGCAACATGCTCTCTCCCCGAACCGATGCTGCCGCCTTTGAGCAACTCAGGAAAAAAAGGCTCCTTCGGAACAACTGACAGACTAAAAACATTTCATTCACAGACGCTGCTACTACTGTTTCTAGAAAAACACAACACCTTGTATACACAGATTTCTGAAAGTAATCGATACATCTCTAGACAGATAGATCAATAAAGCTCTATCTATCTATCTATCTATCTATCTATCTATCTATCTATTCCAGCTTAGAAGGGGCATGTTTTTTGCCCATCATCTAGCCTAGCTTTTATCCTCTTCAGTTATCCATCCAATATAGAAGCGTGTTCCCTCCCTTCACAGAAATTCATCATAACCTACAGGTCTGACAAGACTTTAATGCTGCAATTATCCACTTACAACAAACTCTGGGCCGATCTGTTTGCAGGGGCCACACCACGTGGCTGTGAAGTCCACCACCACCAGCTTGTCTCCAGCTTCCTGCAGACATTTGTTGAAGTCGGCCTACAAAAAGTGGAGGGAAAAAACATTTGTACCATGTTTTTGTTCACTCGTAACATAAACTGAGTTACTGTAGTTTGAAAAGCAACACTGTTAAAATGCAGTTTGCTTTAGGGACTGATCCGTTTGCTTCGTGATCATCGCCTTTGGGTCAGTGGTTGCTGACAGTGCAGATGTAAACTGAAATCTTTTACTTTCTGTTTGCTAGACTTCAGTGTAATAGAATCAGGCTTTATCACAAACAAGCTTTAAACATTAATAGATGATTTATATGATAAATCAGCTTATATGTTTGTCACTTTAAAAGGGAAAAAGTCTAAAATCTCTGATTCCAGCCTCTCAAATGTAAACACTTTCTGGTTTATTGCCTCTACTACGGCAGTAAACAATATCTTTGGGTTGTGGATGAAACAAGACATTAAAAGGAAGTCAGTTTGGGAACACTGATCGACATTTCTAAGCTATTTTCTGACATCATTTAGACTAAGCAACTAGTTGTTTAGTTTTAAAAAAATAAAAATAGGAGAATGAAAATAGGTGCAGCTCGAGTTTACTCCATCCAAGAAGTCCTCTGTTGATCCACCCATGAGTTTCTCACTTATTTAAAAAGTTATTTTGTGTGTAATCACGGACGTAAACTGGCGGTTTTCAGCTAGAAAGAATGATTTTTGCTTAGCAATATTGGGAGTCAGCTAATCGGTTACTTGTAAGGACATCCATGCCAAATGTGTGTGCACCCAAATACTATATTTGCCTCACTAATGTGCTCAGAAACTGAAAGCACCTTCCCGTCCCCACCCAGACGCCCAGAAACACCCAGCGGGCGCTCGTGGCCTGCTGTTGTCCCGCATTAGCCACTAGCCGTTACAGGTGCTAACTACCAGTCCTTTAGCATCTGTTCGCGCTCCGTTAAGACAGAAACGCAGCTTCCTTTACAACTGAGTAGTGTTATTTGAATTAAAAAAACTATTCTGGCACCCCGCTACAGCTGAAGTTTGTATTCACAAAGTGCTCTCCCTGCTACAAGACGGCAAAGTCCAAAAGCCGCATCACACATGGTGCCCGTTATCGATGTATTCATGCTCATTCAACCGCAGACGTAACGCTGATCAAAGCAGCAGCGTGTTGCTGTATTTTGGATACATGTCATGTTACATTTTTTTAAGCTAACGTCGGACTTTTAAGTGAGCTAAAGCTTAAAAAAACAAACGGAAAAAAGGAAAAAATGTTCAAAAATGGGCTCCACTAACATGGAGAATGATGTCACGAGAGGGGGAAAGAAGAAGGAGCGCGCGGCTGCCCCAGTGGAAGTATGGAGCGGTTTAGCTAAAAACATCTTTAGCGACAACATAAATAAAATACAACTTACCATACTTTCCACTTCGTGAACCATGGTGACTGTTGTTGATGATGACGGCGCCTGGAAGAATAACAACGTGCAGCTAAGTCTCAGAATGCCCTGGATTCAACAAACACGGCGCGTTTTTATCGCTGCTGCGTCAAGCTAACCCCGGTGGAGGCCAAACTTCCGGCGGTCATTGTCAAAATAAGAGTCAATTATTGTTGAGCTTGTGAATAGAAACAAGAACTGTACACAGCGACTGTGAAAGTAGCTTCAACTGCATTGTTAGTTTGTAAACAATTCACCTATATTTAATAATGAGATTATATTCCACATGAAGCCTCCTACGGTGTTCATCAACATATACCTTTATTTTGAAAGTTTACAACGACTTTTATTTCTACCTTAACGCTGTTGGGCGTTGCCATTGATTGATGCAGCAACACATCGAGATTTTGCAAGAGGGTAGAACTGTCATGTTGGTTTCACCTATTTTTGTAACCTTTAAAATGAATTAACATTATTTAAAAAGATAATTCAAAAACATATACAAACAAGTACGGTAATTGCCAAAAGTACTTTAGCAATTATCGGTTATTAGTGCTTTCATAATCTAACACACTATTTCGTATGATATTTTTTATGTCAAAGTATAGTTTTGGTTTCTGTACCTGCAGGGCAAGACGGTAAAGAGGGATTTGAGTCACAATGACATGACAAATTCTGGGTTTACCGTAAACGACTGAGTCAGCGCAGCTCAAATTTCAGTGCTGTACTACCGCCAGGCAACGTCCCGTACGTCATTGCGTCATCACGCTAGTTTTTTCTGCCTGTCGGTAAATCCGTGTTTTAAACCTTAAACCATAATATTAAAGATTATATACTTAAATACAGTAGGTAACATTTACAAAAAGGATGCAAATTTTAAATGGGTTACCAAGGAATAAATTAGGAATGATTGCTATACAATAATAATAATAATAATAATAACAGTAATAACAATAATAACAATAATAATGATGATGATGATGATGGCGATATAGCCTAAACATTAGTTACTGGTTTCGTGCACCACAAGTTGTAATACAAAATATTGAGTAGATACTAAGGAATCCCTCATTGCTTCATCATTACTTTATTATTACTTTATTATACATCCTTTTGATGCTTTTAGAAAATTTAAGGGGGGAAAAATCTTGTGCACTTTGGTACAGAAACAGAAACACACACACACACACACACACACATATATATACTCACTATAATATATGGTTAAATGTTTACATAAACCTGCAATCATTTGATCACTCAATCATCAATCATCGTGTGTTCCTCTGAGACTGATAATGTGGTTTAATTTCCACTGAATAGTTTTGTACTGGCAAATATAAAGTGGGCCTGTCCAGCATAAAAAGATCCCAGTGCTATAGGTATGCAAACTCTTAGACTTCTGCTTAAAGGTGTTTAAACCGTACAATATCCTCCTGGGCTACAAACAATAACAGACCCACGGCCACCTACGTAACCATGGAGCTGGCTCTCAGAACCGCCACAACCTTATGAAATTCAAATGGGCGTCTAAAAATACAGCCGATTTCTTGATCAAAGAAAAAGCTGCAATTGGCAGCAGCAGGTTTACAGTGCTTGCTCTATTATCTCAACTCCACCCATTTCAGGAGTGAAAGAAGCACTCATCTTCAGAAGTTTTTTTCCCCTTGTTTCCTCATTTTTTAAAAAGCAGAACATGTATTCATTTACATCAGATTCACTCAGCATGGATAACCACAGTCTGCAACATAAAGCCCAACACGCATGTGAAAGATATCCTTTCAGCTTAAAAAAAAGAACACTTTTATTAGCCAAACAAAAGCTTGCCGTAGACACAATTTACATGGTAAAGTACATTGCAGTGAGTAATGCTGAAATGCATCAGCAACAGATCCAAACTGGTCATTCAGGTACTTGCTGGCAAAACAATAGCAGCCTTGTGTCATCCAACTAGAGTTTTTTCCTTCTGGTCTCTCCTGAACAACGGCAATATTGGTACTATCCAAACTGTCAAAATGTCTTAACAAATGCAGGAGCTGCTGCTTACATTTCAAAATGTATATGCCATTCATTGCTATGAAGCTTACTATTAATTATTACTTTCAGTTTCTGTAAGATTAGTGCCCAGAGTCGCCTTATTGCTCCTTTCATTTCCAGTTTCGTTGTGATTACAAAAGCTCCATGAAGAGCTTATAATGAAACTGTTTGATTAGTTGTATGTCTATTGCTCCTTCCTTCGTGTATGAATCATGTCAGTTGTTAGTAATCGCCATTCTTCTGCACTGAACCAGCGTTTCACTTCAGACCGCGATGATAGCCTTTCCGATGTTTTCTCCCTTCAGCAACCCGATAAAAGCAGCTGGCATGTTTTCAAAGCCTTTTGTGATGTGCTCCCGATACTTCAGTTTGCCCTGCAGATGCAGAATAAATACATCACAATAATTACACTGAAACAGAAACATGGGTAATCCTACTAAGGGAAGTTTAAATCTTTAATACAAAATACAAATAAAATTCTGAATTTGGGCCAGCATCATAGCAAACTTTAGTCACAAACCTCTTTCACCCAAGCCATCAGTCTCTTGGTGGTTTCTTCATGCTTATGCTGCCACCGACTTTGCATGAAGCCCTCCATCTTAATCTGTTTTAAGATCATGGTCAGGTGGGAGCACGGCCCTGAGAGAGAGAGATGGTTAAAATCAAATCCAAAGTAGCTTTCAGTGGGAGTCACAGGAAACAAACTAATGAAAAAAATGATTGTCTGCTGTACATCTGTTATAGAAATTGAGCAATGCAATGTCGCCCTCTAGTGGAAAACTATCTTAACTGCATTTTTCTGTGTTTCTCACAAGCAGGTATTAACTTAAAGGGATAAACTTATCAGAACTATTTATAAAGAAAAGGAAAGTAGGGAGGCAGATACCTGTCTGGGGTGCAGTGTCATTGTACATGGAGATAGATCCACACACAGCTATCCTTCCAAAGTTCTTCATTTGTTCCAAAGCAACAGCTGAAGAAGGGCCTCCCACCTCCAATCAAAACAGAACCAGTACAGATTGTTACACTTATGCTAAGCAAAAACTATACAAAAAATAATGTCAAAAACCAAATAAGCAGTGCTAAAGTAGACTTGGAAGTACACCAGCACTGCTTACATTTTCAAAGAAGCAGTCATATCCCTCTGGAGAAGCCTTCTTCAGAGCCTCCTCCAGAGAACCCACTGTTTTGTAGTTGAAAGCCGCGTCGAATCCCAGCTCTTTGAGGTAGGCCACTTTGGTGTCAGACCCTGCTGAACCCACCACCTTGCAGCCCTTGATCTTGGCGATCTGTCCCACCACGGTGCCCACTGCCCCGGCAGCAGCGTTCACCAGCAGGGTCTCGCCCTCCTTGAGCCCCAAGACTTCTTCTAGGCCGTACACAGCAGTCAGCCTACGGAGGGGGAGAAAGACTTGAATCCAGCTTCCAAAACCAGCAATGAAAAGCAACATTTACTCAAGTATTTGTAGAATTTTGACTTCTTGTACTTCAATTGAGTAATTTTACTTTCTGATACTTTGTACTTCTACTCCACTACAATTCAGAGGCAAATATTTTACTTTTTATTCCCTTTCATTTGTTCAATATCTTTACTTTTTTAGTTTTATTGTAGAAAATATAATCAACAAATGATTTAATATTATAGATGAACACAACACTGTATTGTTTGTCCAGCAGATAGACTCCAAGAAGGCAACTTTACTAGTTCCAATATTAAAGTGATGAACACAATAATGCATCAGTAATTATATTCCAATTACATACGATATTCTGAAATACCTTTCAGCATAATGATACTTTCACATTTGGCACTTTAAGCATATTTTAATTCTAACACTTTTCTATTTCTACCTAAATATAAATTCAGATGTGTGACTTTTAATTGTAATTTCTATGCTGTAGAGTTGGTTCTTGTATCTAAAGTCCTAGATCAGAATACTTCTTCCACTGGAGCCTGTGAGGCCTTCACAATGTAAACTCCTCATAATTGCTTCCATAAGAAGGTCATTAGTACTTTAAAGCCTTCCAAGTTTATTTACTCAAGAGAAAAGAGAAGACTAATGTCTGTTCCCTCACACGAAGCAATCTAATGTCCTTTTTACTGGCTTCAAACAATAACAGGGAAATAAAAAACAGATTATAGTCTTATCCATCCAGATGTTGGAAAAGCCTGAACAGCCACTAGTCGCGTAGAAAATGCTTCTGGAAGTTTGACTGCCAGATATCCATAAGATGGATTAGGAAGGGAGATTCAACTACATCAATTTCACTTCAAATTAAAAAAAAAAGATTTCCACGTATCTGTTCTGTTTTATGGGACAGGTGAAGTTTAAAGTTTAAGAGCACAGTGGTAAAGCACATGTATAAACGCACGTGACTATTTTCTAACGGCATTTCTCTTGCCTTATTTGAAGCAACAGTGATGCTTTTTACCATAATAAATGTTTATATTTATTATAGCTCTCCAAGAAACCACCTTTTTCCTTGAGGCTGAAGTAGGTGGAACGTGATTGGTCTATTTTATGCAGAAGAAGAGTCAAACAAAGCTTCAGATGCCCCCGTTTATGGGAGCACGCTGTGAACCTGATGCAGGGTTTACAAAGAAAGGTAATTACCGCCATCATAATGCCCGCTATCTCTGCTTGGGGTTTAACATTTTGTTGAGGCAGTTTACGCAAAAAAAAAAAAATATCTGGCTCTGTCAAACCAGCTTCAGTCCACCCCTCTGTCAGCTCTGCTACTAACAGATAGAGCTTCACATCTGTCTTACCCCGGCATGCCGATCGTACCCAGAGCCAGTGACAGGGAGAGATCTTTAGGCCAGTCAGAAATGATGGGAGTGAGACCCTTGCCATCGCAGATGCTGTGGGTTCTCCAGCCACAATCACCCACAACGTGGCTGCCCACAGGAAACGCTTTGTTTTTACTTTGGATGACTCTACAGGAAAACACAGGAAGAAAAGTCATCTGTCAGTCTAGTGTTTCTCACCTGCTGCTGCTTCAGGTTATTGGAAGCCTTCTCATTTCAAAACTGTGTTTTTGGTCACTACATGTCGTGGATGTAAGTAGAAAGATGACGTTTACATTCTTTAACAGGAAATGGGAAATTTCTCAGAGCTCACCAGAAATGTGAGTTTAATAAGGCATGTACCTGCAAACAGAATTTGTAATTTCACAGTTAGTTTGAAAATCCTGCTCCGACTAACAACTTACACATGTGTGATGACGAAACTTGAAGCTTAAATTGCACAAATATGGCACAAGTGTAAATTTCAGTGATGTGTGATTCACTACATGCAACTTTTCAACTTTTAGAATGAAAAATATTTTCGTCTTCATAGATTGTGGTCCTTACCACAAAGTACGGGATTCCACAGTCATTGATTTTAAGAATGTGTAACCATCTAATTAAACTCTATTACATAAAAACACATCAGACACAAATTATTGTGCAAAGCAGGGTATTATCATCCTTCTCTGAACATGTCTGCGCAGATGTTTATGTGTGGTTTGGTAACCATGACAACTGCATGTCAAACCATGCGGCAGATGGGTTTTGCAAACTAGAAAGTGAAGAAAACACACAACATGTGGCTTCAAAACTATTTCTTTTGAAGTTCTTTGGGAAGTGAGTGATTTTTTTCTGCATATTTATCAACAAAAACAATCCTACTGAAACAGATTACGCATCTGAATGGGAAGCCAAGAATGTTTCAGAGTCATTTTCTCCTCCTGAATCAAAGACTTCAGTAATTATTAGCAGGTGAAGACTGTGTTCTGCTTCGGATAACGTCAGACATGTACGGTACAGCCTGACAGATAAAAGACATTTCTTGTGTGTTTGTGTTCCTTACTTGGCCACTTGAGTTCCAATCATCACATCTCCTTCCTTCATGGCAAACTTGCTGAACGGCCTGGTGAAACCAACAATGCATCACAGTGTGTTTAAGATATGCTTTCAGCTTAATTAACAAGTGAATATAATAATCAAATATAAAATATGATTAATATATCATTAATAATAATCCCATACGTTTTTAAGATGTGTGATCTTAGTCTCTACTCACCTCATGTACGGATCAACACTGAGAAACACGGCTTCCAAAAGCACCTCTGAAAACAAATTCGTACTGTTTAAGTGTGCACTCATTTTAAGTGCCTGGTATTTAACGTTAAAGGAAAAAAAATGTGTGTAATGCTCCTGCCAGTTAAAAAAAACTAAGTCATCTTACGTCCATCCTTGGGCTCAGGCAGCTCCTCCACCTCGATCTTAAAGTCGCTGTTCTTTGGGAAGCCATCGAAGTGCTTGACCATTGTCCATTTCTTAGCTTGAACCATGATTCCTCAGTTTGTGGCAGCTGTGAGAGATGTGTTACAAACAAAATAGGAAGCAAAGTTACTTCCTTAAGCAGAATTGACCTGTGAGTCTTAAAAACTGAAGACAGTTAAGCTGAACATTAAGCACGTAAAAATAACTTGTGTTGTGGATCAAACAAATTCAGATGTTTTCACTTTATAATGAAAACCCTTGTTTATCGTCGCTGTAGGAGTTAAACTGATAGCTTGCCTCCGGGTTGTATTATCTTGCCTTGTCATTTAAGAGGAATGCACACAAGTTTGCACACAGACAAGTATATACATATGAAAAACCACGATGAAGCAAATTGTTACAATCATACCAATCAGCTGATATTTTCTTTGTATTAAATGTCTGTCTAATGTCCTGTTCTGTTCTTAATACATACAATGAACAGGTAGTACGCAAACATATGTAAATAAAACTATCAGCTAACTAACACCATACACTATGGATACAGTCTATGGATAATATTTCAAGTTGGTTCAAAAAAACAACCTGCCTCAAATTGAAAATGAGAAGTAACTCTCTGCTATTGACTGCTATACTTCCTAATCCTTGATTTGCTACTAAAAAATATTTCTTATTGTAGTTCAGTTGATGATGTTGCTCCATAAAGAGCTCTATAAACTCTATCCACATGTCTTACCAGCGGTCTCTCCTCACAAAGCAATGGCAGAAGTCGTGAAAACGCTGAAGACAGAAGCGGGTAGCTTGATAAAAGTGTGTGAGGAGCGGGGGCGGGACATGAGATACTATTGCTAAGTCTGATTGGATGACAGTGTCGCGCAGATGCTTACGTAACGGAAAGCTTCGCGTTGGCCCTGCGTGATGACGGAGACTGCAGTTTGGATGTTTGGCGCGAGCAGACGACCAGCTAGGACGGAATGCTAACAAAACGGAGACTTTGAATATAATTGTAAGTATGAGCAGTTTGGCTTTTATTGGCAAAATAACACACAGAACATCGCATAACATGACAAAAGCCACAGTGCTTACCAGGTCAGCTGTACCTCATAGCCATTAACTGGCGAGTGTGCAACTTTGTTTTAGCTAACTTGCTAGCTATTTGTCATGAATTTGTTTGGATGCTAAACACAGCAATGTCTTATGAAGCTTCCCAGTGAAGAAACGCCCAGTTTCTGTTCACTTTTTAGCCGAAGTACATGTCACCTACAATACATTAATCAGAATGTATTTACGGAGATAATGGCAACTGTTTGCAGGTGTTTAGTGTAGAAACATTCCTCTTAACAGTTAATTGATTTCAAATCGCAATTTGAAACAGTGCATTAAGCAAATGGTAAAGTCTGCAAATTTCTACATACGAGGTGTAATTGTTAAATAATGACACTTTATAAATAATTCAAGCAGATGAAAGCTTACAGGGGTTGGTCAGTGCATACTACGTGATTCGACTAACATCCGCTCAGTGTCATTATTTAGTAGCCACACCTCGTACATTTTCCAGCACGTCTCGCCAAGAGTTTAAACAATCTTATCAGTAGTTTTACAAACTTTTGGCATTTACACCTTTGATATCTGATGTGATAAGGCTTCACCACCTTAATCTTTTACAAGCTTAAAACTGAAGTAGTGCTTAACTTCATAAACTTACATAACAGATTGTACAGTTTCTTTGGGAGGCATCACATTTACGTAGCTGACCTAAATCCTTCAGCCCATTGATGTTCAGAGGAGTTATTGCAAGGGCAGATGATGACAGGAGTATTTTTATATTTGCATTACATTGTGCATATTTTATTACTTGAGTTTACAGTTCACAGTTCGCACACATGGAAGTTTATTTTTAAAAAGATCATTTTTGGTATGAAAAGATATAAGGTTGATAGAATTAAAATGTAAGAAAAAAGCCATCTTATGTAGTTAAAGTTAACTTTCGTTAATCAGAGCTTTTTTTTTTTTTTGGAGCCTTTGTTATTATTTGTATAGCTGTTGTGGGCATGCACATATCTTTATACATTTATTCAGAACACATAAGGTCAGAGTTTTGCTTTGCTGTATCTTCTCTTACTCTGTTTGCCTTCTACTTAATCCTCCTTATTCGACATTGTGCTACTGCATGACTCACTAGCACAGAGTAAGGAGCGACACAGGTTAGACATGTTAGACGGTGGGCAGTTTGTGGAGGCCCTGGGTCGTCTAGGTTACCCCGGTGCATCATCACTGAAGGCCTCAGAATTCGATTGGCTGTTTGATTGTGCCCCGGAGAACCTACACTTCTTGCGCTTTGTCTGTCGGACCCTCAACCGGGGCAATGTCATCACCACGGAAGAAGCACGTGCTTTTCAGGAGCTACAGAAGTCCGGCAAACCAATTCTGGATGAGACAGCCTTGGGCGAGGTCCTTAAAACTATTGGACATTCAGATGGGAGCGGTGCAAGCATCTTCGGGCCCTCTTCTTCTTCACCATCAGTGTTCGCAGCAGAGGGGGATCTGGCCATAGAGGATTTGGAGGCAGAACTCCAGGCCCTTCATAAAGAAAAAGAGCTGAAGCAACGGCGCTATAACAGGCTGCAGGTTGTGGCCACCTCGCGTGCAGATGTTGATCTTCGACTCACTGCAGAGATGGAGAGCACTGCATGTAGGCTCAAGGAGGCCAGTGCTACTGTTGGAGCTGAGAATGCTGACACCAACACATTGTTACAAACCTTAGCTGATGAAGTAAGCAAGCTTGCTTCATATCTCCCAGTTCAGCCAGAAGCCAAACTAAAAGATAAAGCTGAACCAGTGGTCCAGTCAAACACCTCTGTCACCCAAGGGCCCACTGTCCTCCTCTCTCAGATGTGTTTGGATCCCTTCTTACATCAAGAGGAGCTCAACACTAAAACACTGGCTGCCTTTACTCAGAGGCAATTTTTCCAGGGTATTTCAGACATTGTTGAGACTTCTTGCTCTGAGCGCCTCCAGGTTCTTGACCTCAGTTCCTGTGAAGACAGTGAAGACAGAGAAGAGAAGGAGAATGGCCATGAGGGTAGAAAGGGAGAGGAGTGCGTGATGGAGCGCAGGAGGACGGAGATGGCCAGACTCCAGTGGTCTCATATTGTGGCTCAGCACCAACTGATGCAGGCCATGTCAGAAGAGAAGAGTGTCATAGCTGGATTGGACTGGCTCTCAGAAAAGTCTTCTCATACCAAGGTAAAGCATACATATGGTTTATTTTTGTGTCCGCTGTGAACATCATCATCATTCTGGAGGTGTATTGTTCTGACTTAGTCTCTAAAGCACTCTCATATCTCTCTGCTCACTCCACTAGAGCATTTCCACCTCCTCTTCACTGCATGTGCGTGAAGTGGTGTCCAGAAAGGAACTACAGGCTGTGGAGGCTGAGCTGGAAGCTTTGCTTCATGGACCAGTACGTGCTGCTCTTAGGGAGTCAGCTCGATTGCTTAATGTGCCAGTTGTGAGGGGAGACCTGGCTCTACAACTGGCCAGGCAGGACTACTACACCTCCAGACAGGATCAGGTAAGTAGCTTACCCCACCAATTTCTCTGAGACAATTACAGTGATAAATAGTATTTATTAAATTGTAAGATAAAGATAGGGTTTGTTTTTTTTTTGCTCATAGACAAGTAAGATGTCAGGGTCAAATGTCAAACAGCACTAACAGAGCAAGGGAGTATTCAGATGTCTTTCTCTAAAATACTGTAATAAGATACAAACTGTCTGGTTTTGTCTTGCATCTTTCAACAGCTGCATGCTTTGTAGGTATGATGTAAGCTTTATGAGAGACATAGAGCCACTAATGCCATCTGATTGCACGACATTGTGGAAATGAGAATCAGCTAAAACGATCATACTAAAATGAAATGTAAATCTTTCTGCATAGGTACGTGACTACTTACTCCGGCAAAAAGCTTCCTTTGACTTGGTCCTCCTGGCTCAAGAGATGGAGTTGAGGAGGTGGGGGACATGTCAGAAGCAGCTGGGAGAAGTTTCCAGCAGACTGATGAAGGAAAGCGAACAGGCATCTTTAAGGATCGAATCTCTGGCACACCCTGACCTGGCAATCAACCCGAGACCCAATCCTATCATTACCTGCAAGGATGCAGCGTTCAGCAGGTAAAATGATTTGACTATGTGTACCTCTGTGTTTTAAAGCTTTTTTTATAACATGAGCTTTTCCTCAGCATGTTAGAAGTCCATATTTTACAGATGTCAAATGTTGTTATGTGAGTACACCTCATGAAAGTCAAATTGTTTATGCTTTTTATTATTATGGATCAGAAAGGAAAGGCAAAACAACATAAATGCCAAAATGTTACTCAACTGATCAGCTGGTTCATTTGCTCATTCACTTTAACCTGGTGGTTCTAAGGTGACGTGGAAATGTTGGCAAAATCAAATCAGGATTACACCCTCACAATAGCAATAATGTGGCATTATGTTCATGGCTTTGCACTTATGACATGTCCTTGCATAAATCACTTAAGTCAGTGTTCACGTAACTCAGTGCTATATCCAATCCTTTCTTCAGACTGCTCCAAATACTTGACCATGATTCAGACCATGGTCGATCAGAGCCATTTCGGACATATGATGCATTGGACCAGGCTGCTCGCGATCTGGCAAGCAACCTCCAGCTGACCCGAGATGCGCTGGCTGGTGCCTGCCGTGAGCAATGCTACACAGCAGCTCGTCTTTATGGTGACTGTGAGGTGCTCCATAAAGCCATGTACACAGAGCTCCAGCAGCTGGTTTTAGGCCCGCAGGTACGTCCAACGGCCATCACTGACCAGGAGCTCCTTTGCCCAAATGCACAGGTGGGTGTGTTTCTTTTTGTTTTTTGCGTAGTCATCTTGATCAGCTACAACACGTGCCCTTTACTCTTAATGTGAGTCAGTTAATTTTTAAATTGCTTATCACTTTTGGTGAGGGGAGCTGGTTGCACAACATTATTTTCATGTGCACTTTTTTCAAATGCATGACAGTGTCAAGCACTTAATATGACACGTTGTCTATATAAGGTACTGCACGAAGGTACGAAGGTTGCTAAGGTACTGCACAATAAATGACTGTCAGGTGGAGCTGTTGTCCTGCATGACATGAGGTTTTGCATCAAATGATGATAGCAGTATTTTTCTGCTTGCATAAGAATATGAAATGATCTTGAGGACACAATGACATTGCAAAACAGCATTGTATTTTACCCTGTGACTGGTGAAAGCTGCTGAGTCATCGGCCACTATCGGAGTGAAGTTCTGTTGACACAGACTTTAATCGGGTAATTGATTAATAGATCGTGTCTTAGTTTAAATCCCAGTGTAGAGTTTGTGATGTACATTGACATGACTGTCTTTTTCTGCAAACTTTAATAATCAGGTGAATTGAAATTTCCATGCAATGTTACTATTTGTCTATAAATGTGTTTTATGGGTCCATGTTTCTTTTTGTGTCATTGCATCAAATTACATAAAAAGAAATGTAGCCGGTAACCTGTGTGGATTAAATTTTGAATGCAAGAAGCTTTAGAAATTTACATTCATGTGTAGAGTTTAATTTTGATACATTCTGTCAGTAATGTGATAAATATACAAAAAGAAATATTTTAGGTTCCATAATTAACTTGAAAAATGACCTTACTTGCATAACCAGTTATATTCGATGTTTTAAAGCTGTCATTTACGCAGGTCAAGCAGCTCATAGTTTCATACGTGTGCTCTATTTCTTTCTTTCTCTTTTTCTCATCCTTCCTTCTGTCTGTGCAGGAGCTGACAGCGAAGCTTATGGAAGCAGAGTCACAGCTGCAGAGTTTGCAGCAAGTAATGCAAGAAATCCTGGGGGAAGTTAAAGCCAAGCGTTCCCAGCTGGATCGCAATGCCCTCCTCAGGCTGGAAAGGGAATTATACATCTATTTTCACTTGGATGCTCGGCTGCTACAGAAAGTAGTGGAAGACTTGGAGGCCAAAATGGCTGCAAATAGAAGGCAGTAGTATAGCCTGCCAGAATACACGAGGAGTGCTTATAGTCTGCTCAGCCTCATCTTCCAGTGCCAATCTCGTAATAAATGCACTCCAGCTGCTCCAGCTGAAGACATGTAGTCATTATCTATGCTAATTACAAGTGTGAGCCTACCTTCATCTTGTTTGTGTGGGAGATTAACATTAATCAACTTGGGAAAATGAGCTGTGTTTGTATGATGAGTTTTTATTTCATGCAAACATTCATAAACTCATCAATTTGTCTTACAGCTTCTTGTTCTTACTCACGGTGTTATGTAATTTCTTGTTTCCTCTTTGACTTAAATTATCTGTTAAATAAACTAAAATGCTACCTTTATGGAGTTTTACTGTATATTTTAAAGTAATTTAAGGTTGTTTGTAGAGGGTTGGCGGCATGCTTGGCACAATCTGCTGTGCAAAAGACTGGACATATTTTTTTTTGCACACATTAGTATGTATTATTGCCGGTTTTTGTTTGTTTGTTTGTTTTTAAAAATGCCAGTTGAAGCTGCATCTGTGCATTGCTGAACCAACTCTCCCCTTTGTCTTTTTTGACCTTCGATAGCCAAGGAATTAAAGATCGACAGACAGAGAGAGAGAAAGAGAGAGTGAACAGTCCCTCTGTTAGGGAGGAGATGGAGCAGTCAAGCCACAGGTTTTATGCAGGTCCCCTGTCTCGGGCGGCCCAGAAGATCCTAGCTGTCCTGCGGGCCCAGAGTCTACATGGAGCCAGACGCAACCACAACTACTGCAATAATCACATGCCAAGTAGGTCAGGGTAGAAGCAGAGAAAACTGAAGCTTGTTGTGGTATACTAAAAGAAATCAGGAATCTTAAGTAATTCATTTTCCTAACATTTCTGTTTCTGAACAGGTAAACAGGCTGTATCATAGCAGATCTCTTTATACTTGTTATTTTGTCTCTGTCCACATGGGCCTGTCAGACATGTTTGCCTACAAAAGTGCTTTCCTGTCATAGCAATACATTTTTTGTATTTCAAATTTCGCGACTTTGTGGGCATGTCTATATGAGGTGTCAAAGACGGAGATGTGATGTGTAATTCACAGGTCAGACATACATATTTTTTTGCTGCTTAATTAGACTTGCATACAAGTTCTATTGTGCTTGAAGTACTTAGTTCTCTGTTTTGATGTGTATGTAGTAGTGGAGAGCTATAATGGCAGCCAGAGGGAGTCTTGTGCTCAGAGCAGATGGAGTCAGGAAGAAAGAAAAAAGCGATGTGTAGATCGGTAAGTCAGATTAAGTAGAGGCTGGGCACTGATATGAAAACATGCAGCTATGTGGAGTTATATCAGTTTTATTGATACCGTCACTGTGGTCAGAATGGCATTAGTTGCCTGATTAGCATCTTATCCTACCCAGTGATACAGTAATCAGAAGTTTAAGACAATACAGTAATAAAACCACAGGCAGAACTGTGTCAGGCTTGACTGTTCTGTAATAGGCCAGAGTTAAAGCTTATAACTCCGGCCTATTTTTAAATACTGATACAATAGAATACTCTCGTCCTTAGTGTACTTAATGCAACTGTTAAAGAAATCGTTTTTTCAATGTTGTGGCTCAGACCGTGGTCCAGACCCCAGGTGTCCTCCTTTTCCATCCCTCATCATAACTCCTCCAACGAGAAGCTGAGCTCTCAGACCTCCTATCAGTACTCACAGACACCAGACAGCTTGCTGTCATCCCAGGCCTCCTCCTGTTCCTCCTCCTGCTGGGATTCCTCACTCCAAAGGCAGACATGTCAGACTGAAGCCTATTATCAGTGCTCACAGACTTACTCCCACAGAAAGTGCTCCGAACCCCCTGCTTACCAGTCCAGCCAGGCTCTGTCATTCTCTCAGCATGAGATTCCTGAGGCCGCAGCATCTTTCTGCCATAGAGACAGATATACCCTCTCCACCCAAATACCAGAGAGACTTTGTGAACATCAAGCTACACCCTGGAGAAAGTAAGCAAAGAATGGTAACAGTATTGTGAGTAGAAACTGTTCAATCTCTTCTCAGAGAGAATGCCATCTATTTTAACACAGTTCTGAAAGTTGTCATTTCAGATGCTCGATAACTTTGGCTAACATTAGGAATGGCAGAACTTTTGCATGTATTGATGTTCTTCTGCTGCTGGCTTAGGGAAAAGCAGGGATTTTTAAATTTTCATGCTCGTTTTCCTTTCTCTCGTAGCTTCACTGAAGAAATCAGGCCATCTTTCAACCTCAATATATTGCCAGACGAGGAAGGTCCTGATGAGATGTTGCTCCCCATATCAGAGCAGCCTAATTCTCATAAAGAGGAGCATACTGCTTGTCACCCAGTATCATCCTACCTTAAAATATGTGAAGAGACAGGTAATACATCAAGGACACAGAGAGAAATGGTAACTATAGAGAGCTGGAATATCGACATGAATGAACTAGAAGATGTTGTTGCTTCAGGCAGTCGATTAAAGTGGAAGAAGCCTCAATTTGACCCCACTAAAGAGGCCACTAGTGGAGTCGAAGATGGAGCTGTACTATGTATGCTATCAGAGTCTGAAACAATCAACACTGGAAGGTTACGTCTACCTCTCAGTGACTTTGTAACAGGACAGGGAAGAAGCTGTGATGCACATTCACGCAATCTGATGAGGAATATAGTTGGGGAGAAGCCAATGGAGCTGACAGTGGATTCAGAACATGAAGTTGTTAGGACAGGAAGAGGATGTAAAGATGCAGCCCTACTAAATAGGAAAGGATCGACCAATGAAATGGGACAAATTTGCATTTTGGGAACCACGAAGATCAGTACTTCAGAGGGGAATTCAAGCTCATCCGCTGTGGAGAGAATTGTTGACTGTGACACAGAAGTAGAAATGCTTGAAAGTGAGGAAGAAGGTAACTTTGAGCACAGAACTGATACATGTGAAATCAAAGAAGTTCAACCACCACCTGGTACTAAGAGTAAAGTGATAGCAGTGGGACATCATACTGGCAGTCCAAAAGAGATCCCAGTATCTTTAGAAAGTGGACACCACACGTTGAGCTACTGCCAAACTAAAAACCTGCAGGCCATGGGTTGGACTTTGACTGAAACAGCAGAGATAGACCACACAGAACCAGGACTGCTGGTGCAGTCTGACCCCACCAGTTTAGTCCTGGGTGCCAACAGTGCTGCTAACCTGGAAAGGATAGATTTGACAGAAGTCAGGTTGGAAGTTGAAAGTGAGAGCAGCACAAGGGCAGGCACTGATACAAACACTGGACCAGAGATGGAGACAGGACAGCCCCATTGTTCTGACGTCCAACTGAGAAAAAGACAGGGTGAGACAAATTACAGCAAGGCCATCGAGTCACTGAGAACAGATACGAAGCCAGGAGAGAGGGGAGAAGACAGAGAGCAGCTCGTAGTGTCACCTGTGGACAGAGAAGATGAGAGTAAATATGCAGGTAAGTAATGCTGTTTTGCATCGTGTTAGTTTATGTCATATAATTACCTTGAGTTTTGTTTTTTTAATTTAGTAAAAGACACATAATTAGCAAAACAAGCAGTAAACACCATGGAGAAGCAACTTACACCTTGAAACTGCAGTTTAACAATGACAGTCTTAAAGACACGCATTCAGAACAAACTCGTCCTGACTATTTGCAGCGTGGGACTTTCTAAATCATTGTTCTACTGAACTGTTTTCAGCTCAAATATGTATGACTGCATTACTTCATCGTTGCAACTTGTCATTGTGCAGTGTAGAGTAGTTTTGCAATGTTTGAGCAGGTGAGCCTGTGAGCTCAAGTGCATTGAGTGGAGAAATACGTAGATCACTCTGCACATTCTGGAGATGGCAATAGTGTAGTTCCATCAACTTCAGTTGTCCCAGTATCAGTTTATAATCAGCGTCACATTTTGACCTCTCTGATGAACTGTTGACTAATTTGTAGTTTTGCTAACCACCACCAGAGTGTGATAGAATACTTTTCAATGCTTTAGTCAGCTGGAAGAGTAAACAACAACTCTGGCAACACAACTATAGCCATGTTTGCTGTCAACTAGTCACATTAAGAATTAACCAATTTGTACTGCTTTTACATTAATGAGGAGAATTATGTGTAGTTTCAGATTCTAAATAAGGACACAGAAAACACATTTGTGAAGTATAGATGTCTGTACAGCAGACTTGTGTGTACAATTTGCAGTTAAAAAGAAAAGATTAAATCAGTTATAACAGAGATAGACTGCTTAAACAAGTGCTCTTATTCAGCCCAGGTCATGTGTCTTGCAATTAATGTTACCTTTGACTCAAAATAAAGTTGTGGAGACATTTTTAGGTGCAGTTTGCTGATTTAGGAAAAGCAGCTCTAGGTGGTGCTCAAGGGTTTCTGACTGAGTTGAACACCAGTGCCGGTGGCTCTCAGCCATGTTTCTTTCTTCGGAGTTGCAGTGATGACATGGCAGTGTTGAAGAGACTCAGCATTGACAAGGGATGTTATTCCTGCTCACATTACAGCTGCACAACAAAGCTTGAGTCTCAGCTGCTGAGACAATGCTGAGTCAACTGACGCACACAAACACATCTACAGACACACACTCAGCATCGCACACACGCAAACAAGTTGCAAGTTGTGTCTTTACAAAATGTCAGTTTGTTTCTAGCCAGGTTGACCTTGTCCTGTCACACACTGCAGAGGTCTCACACACGTGAGTGGCGCTCAAACATGCTTAGTTAAACATGCTTACACAACAGAATGGGTTCATTGATTTCAGATGTGCTTGAAAAGTGATGATCAAATAAAAAAAATAATCCTTTCATCCTTTCACCTCTACCCCCTTCTAGAGGACTCAAGTTTGTCCCAGGAGTGTGAGGCAGGCAGGTCAGGGTTCAGAGCTTCCTGTCTTTGTGGCAACCAGCGGTCCTGTGACCACTTACAAGTAAGTATGGAGCAAAACTAGGAAACTAAAAATGGTGTGAAAGTAATGCTTCATTTAATAGAGTACATGTCAGCAAGACAAGGGCAAGATCTCGAGTTAAATTCAAAGTTTAGGAGTTTTGTCCTTGAACAAATCCGCTTTGACACTTTAATTGCGCAAAAAGTTGAATTTGCTGAGCTTGCTTGTCACTTGCTGAGAGTTTTTTACTCTCCTTTCTATAGAGATATACTGTGTCTTTATTTTACCCTGTTTTTATGTGTGTCCATCTGCTCCTGTTGTCCCTCTATGTAGAGGCAGTTTGTACAATGGCAACACATCAAAGGTTCTGCAATTTCGATAGCTGCTCAAATTAGTATTTGGCTTCTGTGTCCTTGATTATACACTGAAATTAATCTGGCCTGCGTAAAGTAGGTGCTGTGGGCATTATCGCAGCACGACAGGTGATAGCTCTTCACTGAGCCTTAAAGTAAAACAAATCCACACAAAGTAGTCCATGAAACATAATTCCAGAAAGGGAGAGGAACAGCAATGCGTCTTTCTCTTTATCTGAGCAGTAAAGAGAAAGATGCAGCTGGAGAAATGAAGGTCAAGACATTGGGAATCGCTAGAAAATAGAGGGAGGAGAAGAAGACAAAAAGAGTTGCAGGACTTTGTTGTATTGCTACATTCAGCAGCAAACACACTCATCCATTCTTTTCCTCCCCTCATTCACTCTCTCACACATCCCTACACCCAGCACTGGGCTATGGGCCATGGCCTGCCTTGGTTTTCTATCTATATCCTGTAGCACAGCACCCGGGGGGAGGTTCATGACTTTGTCAGCAGGAAAGCGGGTTGTGTTTACAGGGAAATGAGGAAGACTCTCCTCAGGGAGCTGAATCACAGGAATTCCTACCTACCAAGCCCACTGCGGACAAACCTCAGAATTGTGTACATAAATACACTCACACATTGTCTGCGAAAATCCTCTGAATACCCACATTCACGTCTCTTACCTAAATTTCAAAGACTGTGTTCACATGCACCCACTTGGTGCTTTTGCATAAATAGAGGTGGGAGTTACGTGTATGAATAATGGAGCTGTTTTGAAGATGGTGGGAAGGTTACAGGGAGGTGAGATTGTACTTTTGGGCAGTGGGGGTCACCTGTTCCATCCTCCACTGGCTGCTATGGCATTATCGTGTTTTTAATGTTATCAGCTAAATTCATACAGTGTATTCACTGTGATGTGCTTTGTATTATTTATATTAGCTTATTAACTTACATTATATCCAGATACGATATAAATCAGATACACTAGAGGTTGACCATGCCCAAATCCAATATGGATTATTAGTGATCAGTGACACTGAGAACCGATAATTGGACTTGCTATACAATTGTAGTAAAAATGAAAAACTTGGTATTCAAAATTTAAATAATATGAACTCCAATACAACCGTTGCAATTTATGTTGTGCATATGTTTGTTAAAAACAGAACATTTGTCCCTAAGTGTTGATAGTTTATTAGTCATGACATATTACCAATTACATAATGCTGTGGGTGGGACAGAGTCACTACAGACAGAGAGGCGGCAGCATTATAGCCGCAGTAGCACATCTGAAAGAAATTGATGTTTTCTAGAGTTGGTTAAAAAAGTAACAATGCCCATGTCTGGAAAAATACGAATATCGTATACAGCAACTGGCCAAGCTGATAATCTGTTCACCCCTAAGATGTGCTGTTATTTCATGATTTGTACACCGCATTAGACCAGTTGAACCCTTTTAAATCCGACTGGATAGTGTCAGATAATCATTGTCATTAAAGAAACTTTTCATAAAGGCTGCAAGGTGACGCGGTGGTTAGCATCGTTGCCTCGCAGCAAGAAGGTCGCTGGTTCGTGTCCTGGTGAGGACACCCGGGATCTTTCTGTGTGGAGTTTGCATGTTCTCCCCGTGCAGCGTGGGTTCTCTCTGGCTTCCTCCCACACAGTCAGAAAACATGTTGAGGTTAATTGGTGATTCTAAATTGTCCGTAGGTGTGAATGTGAGTGTGCTTGGTTGTCTGTCTCTAAGTGTGGCCCTGTGATAGACTGGTGATCTGTCCAGGGTGTCCTCTGCCTTCGCCCTGAGTCAGCTGGGATAGACTCCAGCCCCTCCGCGACCCTAGTGAGGATTAAGTGGTGTATAGATAATGGATGGAATGGATGGATGCTTTTCAAAATAATATTTTGTGTGTGAGTGTGAGTTGCTATTGAGTGTGTGTATGTGAGTGTCTGTGTTTGTCTGTGTGTCTGTCTGCTTCTGTGACCCTGTCCCAGCTTCAGGCAGGCTTGTCAGACAAACAGTGTCATGGCTGTCTGTGTTCCTGTCTGGGACTAACGCTGAGGGCTGACTTTGACGTCCTTTTTTTCTTTCTCCTGCTTCCCTTTTTGCGAATATTTTTCTTGCAAAAACCACCTGCTTGCCTGTTTACTTTCACTGCTTTCAGTTTTTTTTTCTCTCTTTCACAAATTCTGCATTATGCTGCTATCTCCATGTGTAAATGGGAATGATTAAATAATTATGTGCAACTGGATATTTTTATTTAATTCACTTCACTCTTCACCTCTGACTGATTTACTGCTATGTATTGATATTCTCTGTAACAAAACCGGCAGGAACAGCGGAAGTCTATTTTCAAGAGCCTTCTGATGTGGCAGAGTGAGTCATTCTAAGTCTATTCTTGCTTCTTGTTTTTTTTCTCTGTGTCCTTTGTCTCTGTCTGCACACTGCTCACCTTTTATGTTGTGCAGACCACTAATGGAAGCACCAAAGGGAGCAGGTCAAGCTTCGTACTGGCCCCAGCAAGCTTTGCTGCTCCTGGAGAGAACTCCTCTTCAGAACAGTATTTGACTTCAACTGCTGTACTACCGAACAAAAAAATGGAAAGCAGAAACCCACCTACTTCCCAAAGTCAATTACATCATCTGCGCCAGACCCCCTCCTTGCCTCTAAAGAGGAACCATGAAGTACTTCAGCACCAAAATGCTCACCCTCCTCCCAAAAGCTTCCAAACCAGGCGTCCTCCAAAATGGAAGCCACCTCCATCCTCACAAGAGAAGGCAGGAGAAGGAGCAGTGAGTGAAGGGAAGAGAGCCAGGCTCAGAGCCTCTGTCTGTGAACCGCCGACTAAAGCCAGCCCTCCACATGAAACTGGAATGGTGTTGGGGATGCATACAGAGCCATATGCCCTGAAGCAAACTCAACAAATTAGGCAGATGAAGGCAGAAGAACACTGCAATGAATCAGCAGAGAAAACTTCCAAACAGACCGCATTTTGCAAACCATGCAAGCGCCAATGGGCCAAATGTGGGACTGATCCAGCCAAGAATGGGCCCAAAAGTTTCCATGGGGGGGCTAATACAAGTGAGGCCCTGACCCAATCCCAAGATGGCTGTCTGACTGCATCCCTGACATCTGAACCTAGAGTAAAGGATTTTGGACAGCTGAACCCAGATGAAAAGATGAAGATGCTTGAGACAACTCGGCAGGCCAAGGTGCTGGTGCTAACTATGGTGTACCGAGATGGAACAACTCAGTTAGACCCAGAACAGGTAAGAACTTGGTACCCCAAAGTTTGTGTGCTCTACATTGAAGCCAAGGACACGGTGACATTATTAAAATAGGATAAAAAAAGCACCAGAAGTAAGCATGAACACACATTGTTCCTTCATCAAACTTCACTGCTCACTATGCCTCAAGACTCATGTCACGTTGTGTTTGCAATTGAAAATTTAGGTTTTACAGATGTTTGTGTTTTAATGCCTGTTGCACATCTATAAGGGAAAAAAAAGGCTCAAGCTTTCCCTTGTATGTTTCCTCTCTTGCACATAATGTAACAGTGTACAGTAAACAGTGTGCACTCGTGGCTTGCTGCCTCATTAAAAGGTGACCCCTGCACTCATTTTCCTTTTCCTCGCTGATGCTTGCCGCAGAAGCTCACTCTACCAGTGTGTGGCCTCCTCGTGCTGATGAAGAGCGATCTTTCCTGCGGCACGCCAGAGGACTCGCTCGGGCCAAACGACAGTCTGGTCTACTTAAAACTAGAGCACACACCTGCATGGGCCCAGCAACAAACACATCCAAGCCCAGAGCTTTTTACTAGGTCTGCAGCAGTGTGATGTTGCATTTGTGAAAAATGGCTGATCTATGTTTGGGTTTCACACTAAGAGGTGTGTGTGTGTGTGTGTGTGTGTGTCCCATAGAGATATGCTGCTACAGGTGCTCACAGGATCTCAACTGGTGGTGTGCTATAAAGCCAAGGATTTGCTTCGCTCAGTTCTGCAGGTTTACAGACGAGAGCTCAACTGGAAGCGAGGCAAGACAGATATAAATGCACCTACTCATGTATAAACACATACATGCAATTATGCACTTATTCCAGTTGCTTGGTTCCTCTTCAAAACACTACTTTGTGAATTCATTAGCATTTTTCATGTTATGCTCTGTGCCTAAATGATTCTGCATCCAACGTGTATGTCTGAGTATGAAACAGTTTGGCTTAAGGAGATGTCTTTTTTTTCAACTAAGTGTTTTCAACAAAATTAGCCAAAGTATCAAAGCCACAAATGACAGTGGTGGAAAAATAACTCAGATTGTTTTTTTCATTTAAGGTTTTAAGACATTGCAAGTAAAATTCCTGCATGAAAAATCCTGCTGAAATAGGACGATGAAAGTATTAGCAGCAAAGTGAAGTTGAAGTGTTAAAGGCAAAGTACTGATTTGCTCTCTCTGACTGATGTCACTTTATGTCACTAATACTGAAGCATTAGTGTGTAAGCAGCATATTGCTGTTATAAGTTCTGGAGCTAATTTAATCTACTTCATATACAGTTTGACATAGTTGATATCTCAGTGGTCATAAAATGATACACAAATCTGTTTTCAAGTATTTAACATTTCTCTTTTTGGTGTGATATTAGATCATTTGAACATTTATTTGAATAAAACAATGTAAGAAGTTTAGAAGGAAAAATCACTGTTTAGTAGAAGTGAACAACTCAGACACCTGAAATGTGACTGTGCCTGCACGTTGCTTTTTGTAAGATGTCAGAAGCCACAAAAGGTGGAAATCTTTAGCAATGTGTTGTATTGTAAAAGCTTGTTATAATATTGACTGTCTATTCTCAATTTTAACTGTGTAATCTTAAGAGAAACTACGAACAAAATCGATGTAGTACTTGAGTAGAAATACTTAAGCAAAGAATTGTGCTTATGTATGCTACTTGAGTAAATGCACATAGATGGTTACCACCACAGAAGATAGAACGCTTTCTTTAACAATACAAAAACACCATATTCCTCACAAACATCAGCATTTGTACACACTTGTCAAACCACTTGCGCAGTGGATGTTTTTAATCAGTCACAGTACAATATCTACACATGTAAACAATGTTTAAAAACGTGATGTAATCTCCAGAATATTTATTGACAAACCCGTATAAGCATGGCATAAATCATTTTGAAAACTGTTGGTTATCATAAAGAGCTTTTCTCTCTATCCAGTGGCCGGCTGTCATATCCAGGACCCACAGGTGTCAGCGTGGCTACTGGATCCCACAGATCCTTCCTCTTGCTTTCAGGACCTTCTTAATAAACACTGCAGAAGACCCCATACCACACCTGCCCTGGGTGCTCAGAAGGTTAGTTAAAATACAAATTTATCAAGTATGGAAATCACCAGTCGCCAGGCTTCATCAGTACACAAGACGTCTGTGATAACAGCAAAATACATCCATGGAGCTGGCCAGGTTTTCTTGTAAACAATGCTGTTTACATTCAGTGTTTCTTGCCAAACTTCATTGTGTGTATCTTTGAGATCTAACAAACATGTTCATTGTATTTCCTTGTCCATAAATCATTTACTAATCTCATTTTTTATTTCTAAATCTTGCCAAACATCTCTGTTTACTAGCTTGCTATCTTTCCCAGCATATCTTGGCACGTTACTGCCACCTGTTGATCAGTGCAAAATGATTGTACCCATGACAATTAATAATTTAATAAAGTCATTTTGGCCACATCTGTACAAAAAAACCAACAAAAAACAAAAAAACAAGACATTAATTCATGAAGTAAATTCACAAAAATCTTCCTGAAGGCAAGTTTAGCATTTGGCTGTCTTTCTTCTGTTTTTTTTAACCTGGACATGGACAGGAAGAGGGGTAGAGAAAAAATAGATCAGATACTTATGTGAGCTGAAACAACCCCAACAAAAACAGCATGAAGGAAAACAGAAGTGAGTTGCCAAAGGGGGAGATAAGTGGAAGTATAATCCAGATTTACTGTAAAGTTCTGAGCAACAAGGACACCTTATCTTACTCATTTCATGAAGGACTATTGGATTTTTCTTGGGGCATTTGTGTCTCAGAGACTTTTGTGTTTTATTATTTGGGTTGACTGCAACAAGATTTAATTGATGAAACTGAATTAATGGAGGTTTTTTTTTGTTTTCTTTTCTGTATTTTTGTAGTGAGTGCGGTGTGCTATCCAGGCTGTCCCTCCATCTGGTTTATTAGAGTATTCTAAAAGTTATATGTTCAGATCTGTGTTTATTTCCATGTCTGGTGCCCAATTCCATTTTGAATATTAGGGATACACCTACACTGAAACTTCACCCTCCTCTCTTTCTATGTATTTGTCTGTCTCTCTCTCAGGTTTCCCAAATCATCTCAGGTCTCTGTTGGCTCTACAGGCTTAATATGAAGCTGTGCTCTCAGCTACAGGTTGGCAGATATGTGCACAGACACACACAGGCACACACACATGTACGTACCTGTATAAACAGCAGACACAAACTGTCAGACTGAGTGTTTGTGTGTCCAGAGCCAGGGCCTGTGGAAGCTCTACTCTGACATGGAGCTGAACATGATCCCTGTTCTGGCAGGTGAGCACCACTTTGCACCACTTTATTTACTTTGTTTACGAGATACTGTGCTATGTTTTGAAGTGCCACAAACATTTTTAAGGGTTTTGAAACTGATCCAGTAACAACAAATTATTCCAGACTAATCAGGGTAAAATCTAAGTTGGAACACATTTGCAGTAAGTGGAACCAGCAGCTTGCAGTTTTAGATGATATTTGATTCATATTTGGACTTTAAGGCTTTTGTTAGGACACAAAGTTACAGAGCTTCTCCTCTTTACACCTGCAACCAGTTTTCTACATCTATAATAACCATATTTTCGTAGTTGCCAGATTTGGTATTCAGGTCTTGTAAATCAGTAATGACTTGTGTTGTTTCAGCCATGGAGAGCCACCGGATCCATGTGGACAAAGAGGCACTTAAGAAAACTTCAGACTTACTTGGGGTAAGGTGACCTCAGGGTGCAAAAACAAACCTTTATGGTAAATTGAAACTCTATGGTTGGTAGATTTTAAACTTTCACAATCAGTGTTATGGCTTCTGGCACAGCGAACAAACCGTTACCAGCATTTACCCCGTGTACAATGTTAATTTAAAACAAAATACAACTGTGGGACAAGAGCAGTATATGCATATTTCTCTGTTAAACTGAATCTGCTCAGTGTGTTTAAAGCTAGATGAGCACATTTTAAGCAATTTAATTTAACCTTTGCTTCAGTGCCTTGTTTATGTAAATGAAATACTAAACATGAATCTGAAGTTTGTTTTACTCCATTTAGGTTTTTTTAATGAATATTTACAGCATGAATTAAGCTAATACATCACTTCGCTTTAAAAAAAAAAAAAAAAACTCCAAAACTTCTGTGGATATTCTTATAATAAGAATTGGAAGCGGGGGCTCTGCGGTTTCAAGGTCTCTGTAGGTGTGCATCAACAACATTGACCGGCAAAAGCTTTCTACATAAAAAAAATCCTACATTTTCATCAAAACAATGCATAGATGTTAATAGAACAGGCCTATGTTTGATGCTATTTGAAATACTGTATATAAACTAAAACAAGGTCTGATGTGTGCTGATAACCTTCTGCTTTGAGTAAATGATTTACATTTGGTTATGAAACAAGGTGAGTTCTGTATCAGTTTCATTCATCCATGTCAACTGCACCATCTGACAACAGAGAGGATTGCTCTATACGGTGGTTTTGGCGGCTACCCATTGACACTATGAAAGGAAACTCAGTAAAACATCAGATATTTGCAAGTTGCTCCTTTTTTATGCACAACAGCTGCAATTAGTCCAGAGTTATCAAACCTGATGGTAGGAATGAAGACATATTTTAGTCATTGTTTGTATTATTAGGACCAAAAATTGAATTGAAGTATGGATTTTGTTCCTGGGCAGCCATTTTAACCCCTGAATATTCTGGTTTCCAATTTTCTATAAAAAGGTCATTTAATCAATGCCTGTGATGAAATTGGATTTTTTTGTGTAAATTATTGACTTCAAGAGGAAAATGTGTTGGAGTCTTATTCAGCAGCTTTTTCAGTGCTTTTTGTCTTAAACAAAGCCCCCCATGGGAAACCTAGTTTTTGCCAGCCTGTGTATAGATATGATGTTCAGGGTCAGCTCAGATTTGTACTGCATCACTCTCGGTTTATTGAATTTTAGGCTGGCTGCTGAAACACTGCGCAGCAGACAGCTGCTGTATTAATACTGATGAGAGCAAAACAGTGGGAGGATATGAGAAACAGGAGAAACCTCTGGAAAAAAAAGAAGAGAAAAACCCCAAGAGCTGAAGAAGAAAGGAAAATAGTATTTCTCTTTTTCTTCTCCTGGGTAGGATTAGCGATGAAGTGGGTGGATGTCCTCCGGGGACCTGTCCTGTTTACATACAGATAAAAACCAATTCTGAAGAAAACATTTGAGAGTAATCATGGATATGCAAAGATATGCAAACAGATATTGTGGACACACACTCATGCTTAAGAATGCACACATGATTTTGCAGGCATAAAAACAAGCTCTCTTAAACTCCCTTACAACTCTTGCAAGCGCCAGTAGGGGTGTTGTTGTGGAGACAGTCTTGATATCTTGCCGTGTTACTATAAATAGGATGGATAGTCTGTCTTTTTCCTTCAAGAGGCTGTGCTGCAGGAAGGAATATCGCTGTCTCCCTCTGCCAACACACACACACCGAGGCACTGAAGTTTTTGCAGACTGCTGCAGAGCTGTGTGTGCATGCATGTGTGCGCTTGTCGTTTTGTAATATGTCTGTGAGCGCAGTCACGCGTGTCCCCACTCTGTCGTGTTGGATTTGGTTTTATCTGTGCTGTCAGGCTCACCTGTCTGAACACCAAACACAGAATCCCTCCCGTCTGTCAGCTTGCATCTTACATACGTGCTCACATGCTCTTTTGTCTTTCCACACAATAGTATTAAAATTCAGTGGGACAAATGCCACTTAATAAACCCCCATCTCAGACATTGCTAATCAGATCAGATTAGATGTCCTTTTGTAAACATCTGTTCCATCAGTGTCGAACTGAAAAGTCCACATTTTGATGTATATGATGTGTAATGCAATGATTAATCTCACAAATCTCACACTGCCCTGCCGTAGCCTTGCCTTGTGTATGTGTTGTCTGTCGAGCATAGTACTTCGGGGCTCGCATCCAATATTGATGAGGCAGTCTGGAGCCTGCTCTGGGCGCTGAGTGAGACAGAAAAAAAGTACACATTTTGGAATTTGGGTACATGTCTGCCAGCTAACCCCAATTTTCTTCTTTCTTTTCTCTTTCTCTGTCGCTTCATATTTGTCTCCTCTCTTGCCACCTTCTTTCCTCCTTCCTGCCATTGCTGTTTCTCTTGCCTCTGCCTATCATTTTGTCAAGTTTCGTATCTCTAATTGTCTTCTTATTTCAAATACTATTTAGTATCAAGGTCCAGCCCTAGCCTTCCCCTGCTCCCGTGGCTCAATCCTCGCCCATTCCTCCTCATGTTCTCATCTTCTCAAAATGTTCCTGTCAGATTTTGCCCATCTACCCACAAAGGCTTTTGCATCACATTTCAACTTCACATTTTCTTTGTCCCATATTCCCTAATCTGTCACACTATTACTCTTTCTGTCTGTTGTCTCTCATTTCATCACCCCATCTCTCCCGCTCCCCTCCCTTTTGTTTCTCTATTCTCGTCTCTGTTTTTTCCCACTTGTTTGCCTGTCAAGTTATTAAGTACTTAAGTCGGAGTTGTAATGAGCGGCTGTGTGCGGATGCCACCCCAGTCACAAAAAACCCCAGAAAAACTAAAAAATGTCCATGTTATAGCTAAATATTGTATCAGCAATTCATTCCTTTAGTCCCTCATTTGCTTTTCTTAGTCTTCCTCATTTATTTTTCATCATTATCTCTGTCTTTTTGGGACTCAGCCTCTTGGCCTTTCCCTCATCCTCATATGTTTTAGTCAAGTGCCTCTACCTTTCACTGCTCTCTTCTGTCAGTCTCATACTTTCTGTGTTTACTTCTCTTTTGCTCTCTCACTATATTTTGATCATGCTGCATCTGTTCTTTTTCCTCTTTTCTACCATTTCTCTGCCCTTGTCTTCTTCTGTCTTGCTGTGTTTATCATGCTGCTCATGTGGGCTGTCGCTGGAACAGAGTTTATTCTCTATTAGCGACTGGATTATTGCAGCAGTCATTAATTCTGCACTGTGCGTTGGGGATTCAGTATGCTGAAGTTAAAAAGGTGTGTCTAGATACATGCAGTATATGTGGGTGTGTTTCATAATTTGTGTGTGTCTATGTGTGTGAATGCTGAAGCCATTTGTCATCAGTTTGTTTGTGACTGAAGTGCGCGCAACACAGTTCTCTCTATATTTGACCTTTGAAAGGAAGCAGAAATTAAACAAATCCTTTAGACAAGTTCTGTCTCACACTTATTAAAAGTTCCATCTTTAAATAACTTTCAAAGCTTTACTGCAGAATTCATTCTCATGGTCTGGAAAATTAGTTCTATAATTTTTTTGGCTTGAGTTTTTGGCATGCTTAATAGTCACTAGGCCGCAGTAATGAATTATCCTACCATATTGTCATATTATTATATTGTACCATAAATACACCGAAGTCTCACAACAGTTTAATTGACTTTATATCCTCTGAGTGATAGATGGACTAATCCGGGGGAAAAAAAGTCTGGCAAAGATATGAATTACTGTAATGGAATGATAAATTATGTGTGACATAAATCATAGTTTTATGGTTTTGGTGGTTGTTTATAAACTTAGACATACAGAAAACATTCATCTTTATTCTATATTCAATTGGAACATTTTTTGTATAATGTAAAACGTCTTTGTATGACACATATTATGTAAATAATATATACTCAGAGCAGCTGATTTGACTGTTATATTCTTATTGTCTTCTTGCTGGGTCGTCAGCCACTGATGACGCACAAAAACCTTTATTAGTTTTATTTATTCCTAGAGGCATCCATGAATGTGTCAACTAGTGCTAATTGTATTGCTTGCACGAAACGGCACAATGGTTATGGAACTAAGGGGTGTTGAAGACCCCATAGTATTAATTTGTAAGTTCATAATCTAATTTTTGATGTTTAGTAGAAGATGCTATTGGCTATAGACTTAAATGTTCAGAAAACACTTGATTTTTCTCATACTGTACACTGTTGCAGCACTTCTCCCCATCACTGTCTGAAAGGCTCAGTTTTACGATCCCGTCTCTTCAAGGACAAGAGACTAGTGAGGAAGGAGGTGCTGATTCTTCTTTTGAGGCCATGAAAAACTAGCCAATAGGTTACACAAATGTATTCCAGAGTGATGTAGATAACTAACGAAAGGAAAATCTGCAAATGAGGCATTTCAGGTGAAGAGCAGCGTTTTTTTTTTTTTTTTTATGTAAGAGAATTCCTCATTCACTTAATGAAAGGGGAAAATCCAAAGAGCGTAACATGTACTCGGTAATTGTTTGACTTTGATCTTCAATCAATAATTGGTAGTACGCTAATGTGGCTTTTTGGTAATTACATGAACAAGCAGGAATCCTCTTGTTTGTCTCTGTTAGACTAAAATGAAACAGTTGGAGAAGGAGGCCCACCAAGCTGCTGGACAGATATTCCTGGTGACCAGCAGCACTCAGCTACGGACCGTACGTACCTTGATGTGTATGTCTGTTTGTCCTGTGCATGCATTTCTATTCCCCTACATGTCAATATTGCAGTTTATTATGAAGCAAAAATGTGAAATGTTTACAATGTATATGTTAAAGATACTGTGGACTTATAATGTTTAAAGGTTCTGTTTGAAAAGCTGCGCCTTCATGAGCGCTGTGAGAACAAGAAGCTTCCCAAGACCATCAACAAACAGCAGCAGTCAACATCAGAAGCTGCAGTATGGCACACAAACACACAAATATGTGACTTTCACCCCTAATCTCCTGTGATCAAAGAAAACCAGGTCAATCATATTTAATATTTCAGTCTTATTCGGTATTTTAAGTATTAGATTGTGCGCAGACACATTCATTCAGATTAATCCGGATAAACAGCCATAAATCACATTAAACATGCATTAACTTCCATGCACACTCAACATTCTGGCATATAAGTCCTGTCCTTGTATACACAACAAATACCAGACAAAAGGACAACAGATCTTAACATACGATGAAAAGAGACAAAAAACCCAGCAGATTTGCTACAATCAAAAACATACAGTTACAGGATTGTGTTAGATGTTTCTTAGAAATTGCCATTGAGCTCTTTAATGATTGTTTTTGTACATTTTGTCTTTCCTTTGTTTTGTTTTGTTGCAGTTGTTGCTGCTTCAGGACTTGCATCCGCTGCCAAAGATCATTCTGGAGTACAGACAGGTCAGTCATGTTTACAACAGGTTTGTGTTACTTAAGGCCTAAAGCAGAAGCATTTCTTGTCACCAAAATCAAATTCTAAGATTAGATAGCCAATTTATGTTCTGTGTTTTCAGGCACTGTGCAGTTGTTGAATATCAACCGTGATATTACAGTAACATATGGGTGTGTTGTTGCCCCCAGGTTCATAAAATCAAATCCACTTTTGTTGATGGGATTCTCTCATGCATGATGTGCAAGGTGAGCCTACAGCTGGTTTCTTTCAGGTGTAGCAGAGCTGTCCACATAATGCATAAAGTGTTCACGCATTCTTACCACACACATTCACCGAAAGGAAATCTGACAAACAAGGTCTGTCAGCTGAGTAGGACCTTTCACTCACTGTGAGATATGGATTTATCTCGACTTTTCTCCTTGAGGCTGGAACAACAAAAACCAGAGAGTGAAACCAAAAGTTGTGAGGTTGCTTCAGGCTAAAAGGACTCAAGTAGATCCCACGGCTTTTGCTTTACTTTACTCACAGGTTGGTTCGGTGTTGGTACACTAGAACAGTGCTTGTGTGACACTAGACAAACCCATCTCTTTCCTCTTCACCTTTAAAGGTGCTGCTGGTGTGAGTGTCGCCGTCGTTACATTGCTGCGTTTAGTGCTTCAGCTGAAAAACCACAGGGCAATGCTGAAGGCTTTTCAGAGTTGTTTTGAGTAGCTATCAGATATATCTATCTATCATATACGTTACAAGATGTGGTTGCACTATCCCTGCTGCAGAGAGCATTCATAGGTCTGGACGGGTTCTGCTGTAGTAATAGTAAAACATTTAGTCTAAGCGGGATTCTTGAAGCTGTTGGTCCTTTTAGCTGCCACTGCTGCATTAATTTGGCAGAAGAGAAACGTAGCTTCACGTCTGACTGTCCCTCCACACGATCCTCATTCGAGCCTTGTGTCTGGGAGCAGCCAGCTTGTGTTTGTCAATCTGTGCTTACTCAATGCTGCAAATGAGTCTGTTTGGCTGTCTCCAGAGCTGTTTGGCTTCTGATGGTGGTGATTCATTTGGTGGTCTTTTGGGCAGTGTGGGCAGCAGTCCCAGCTAGAAAAGGGTGCTGTTGACAAAAAGAGGAATACGAATTTCTGCTGATAACCTGTATTTTTGCGGTTACATGCAAAATTACATCCAAAAAGAGCACACGGTACTTTCTTTGGGAAATAAAAAGCTTAAGTGAATATTATAAAAAAAGTAGGTTGATGCAGACATTTCACTTAGTTAAAAAATATGTGGAAAATGCAATATCTACAAAATTGTTGGTAGCCCTCGGTTAATGAAAGAAAAACCCCCAATGGTCACAGAAATAACTTGAATCTGACAAAAGTGATAATAAATAAAAATTCTATGAAAATTAAGCAATGAAAATCAGACATGGCTTTAGAACCTTTTTCAACAGAATTATTTTTAAAAATTAACTAATGAAACAGGCCTGGACAAAAATGATGGTACACCTAGAAAAGACTGAAAATAATGTGACCATAGGGACATGTTCAATCAAGGTGTGTCCGCTAATTAGCATCACAGGTGTCTACAAACCTGTCATCAGTCAGTCGGCCTATTTATAAGGTTGCAAGTAGTCACTGTGCTGTTTGGTGACATGGTGTGTACCACACTAAACATGGACCCTTAACATTTAGGCATTTTCAGTAAATCTACAGTAACCTATTGCAGGAAATGTTCTTTCTTCCGGTAGCCTTCATACCATTTATAAATGCAAATACATTTAAGTACAGATTTTATACATTTCTGGATCATGTCCTCTTTAATTTGTGCAGAGAAAAGTCCTTTTTGTTTTTTGAAGCAGAGTTTACTTTGATCATAAAGACAAGAGTGCAGCTGTCGCCTGTGATGCTAATTAGAGGACACACCTTGATTGAACATGTCCCTATGGTCACATTATTTTCAGTCTTTTCTAGGGGTACCATCATTTTTGTCCAGGCCTGTTTCATGAGTTTATTTTTTAAAAATAATTCTGTTGAACCACGGTTCAAAAGCAATGTCTGATTTTCATTGAATAATTTTCATAGAATTTTTTATTTATTATTACTTTGTCAGATTCAAGTTATTTCTGTGACCGTTGTGGGTTTTTCTTTCATTAACCGAGGGGTACCAACAATTTTGTCCACGTGCGTATAGTCTAAATTGCAAAATAATAATTTGCTTAACATGATTGTTATTACTACACATCAATCTGCTCTATTTCTAGCAACATGCAGCTCAACGTATACAATACAGCACACAAACTCACTGACGTGTAATCGGGCATTTCCACTGCTCTTATATCAGGAGACCTTTGCTCACAGTTATTTCATCAGTTGCTCTTGACTGCAGTTACCCCTTTTCCCAATTTGTTAGGTTAATAAGTTTGACTGCAACCAGATGTTTGCGTTACGTCATTTAACAGCAGCTCTGAGCACAATAAGGTTGTTGTATGTTCTACTTATTGCAGCAAAATAGCTGGCATCACAGTCTGCAAACAGCTTGTTCAAATTGGACATGGCTGTGTTGATGCCTGTCGGTCCAAACGCAGAATCAGAGTAATGATGACAATGAGGACTGCAGCTGTTGTTTTCAGGCGGAATTGGAGCTGAATAGAAACATTAGTGATCACGTAGCTGACTCAAGCGCGTATATTCTGTTTTTGTATTCTGTTTTTGATTGTTTCATTTTGGTGGGTGAAATTCTCCATTTTTGTCCCCAAAGTGTGGTTAAATGCTCGATTGACATTTTCTCATTATGTCTAAATTTATTGTTATATCTGTCTCTCCTCACACGTCAGAACTACATTTCCTCGACATGGCACCAGACAAGTGCTGTGACTGGGAGAATCTCTGCAAAACACCCAGTAAGTATAACCTACCTATCATCTGTCACTTTCATCATTTCTGCCATCGTTTTTGAAGTCTTTGAACAAGTATATATATAAGTATATATATGGGTGGCTAAAAACAGGCCTGTGCCGCCTTATTTAGTGGAGCTATCCATGGTGCTGAACCAGGCCAAAGAGGGAATACTTGAAATAATGAATATAGCTCCTGTGCATTCCTACAACACCCAAAAGACCCATCAAAATACAGTAACGTAAACAGAAAGGCTCAAGTGCAAGTTAATGGTTTATAACTCAGGTTTATTTTTCCTCAGGTAGAGAGCTAACGATTTTATATCTGTTCTATAATTTGTGGTAATGTCTTCATGCAAAGCAAAAAAGTACTATAATTAGTAAAACCTAACAAAAGCAATAAACAAAGTCAGAATCTGTTTTGTGCAAACTTTCAGTAATTTGCATTTTTTCTATGCTTATTGCCACAAAAGCCCTTCGCTTGGTGCTTCGAGTGCACTGAGCTTTGGACACACACAGATGGACACATAAAGGTCTTCTGCTTGTTGGTGTGTAAGATCGTACCAAACAGATGGAGGCTGCCTGGGTTTTCTGCACTGTCAAAAACAGAAGGCCCCTTTATATAACCTTCAACAATCTCACACACATAATTTTCTGTCTTCTCTCTACTCTTTTCCTTTATATTGCCTGTTTCCTGTGCATCCAGCGTCGCCGTTGCTTTTTTCTGTCCTTCATATCTCTCTTGTCAAAGAAACCCTTTGATGAAACTGACTGCAAAGTAATTCTAAACATGCTTACGCATTAATGCTGCGTTCTCCTAGACGCAGATGTTTGTGGATTGTTATGCAACAGCAAGCTGGGGGTTACTGTGAGCTGTGTTTATGAGGCGAAGTTGTAGTTGAAAGACAGCAGGCAAGTGTTTAAAACATTAATATGAATCAGGGTGTCTCAGACAGGCAATAAGTCTGGTTGATAAAGAGGATGTAGGCTTGAAGGGGCTTTATAGAGCCGGGGAAATAGTTCTACTTAAATATTCATTGTACCTTTAGCAGACACGCAAACACACATACAAGGACAAAGAATAGGTGAAGCACATTAACAGGGTATTAAATCTTAGAAGGAATATTTTCATCACGGATACCACAATTGTTTGTCTGCAGCTTTCTTTGTACTACCACATAAACAGCCTCTACTGTTTATACCACAACATATTCCTTGCGCCATTTATTTAAAAAAATAATAGATTTGAGGTGTAATTTCCTTTTGTACCTTTTCCTTTTGTACCAGACACTGATGGCTAACACATCTGAGTGAGAATCTGCTGAAATCTAAAAATCTAAATCATGGTGGGGATGCAGCTGCTAACACGATGATGATATTTGTACCCCAAGAAAAAGAAAAACACGGGTTTAAGTGATTCAAAGCCCGTAGTACCCCTTTGGAAAATGATCATGAGCAGCTGTATTATGCATGCATAATGGTTAATCGACTAAAACATACAAAACCACTTATCCTGTCCCTGAAAATACAAGAAAACGAAGCCCACAGAATGAGCCTTATTCAGACATCCTTCTAATTACAGCATAGGTGGTCATAAAATCAATTTGCTAAATTCCAGCGCTGAACAAAAGCCCTGAGATAGCAGGTCGGTTGTAAGATGTGGCACTGAGGTCATGGATTTCATTAAGCTGTAATTAAGTCGCTTCATAAGGGATACCTGTCACCTGCAGTGGGCTTTAAATAAGATGTATTTTTATCTCCATGATAGCAGTAGTTTGACCAGTGCTTTTTGTCAAGATTTCAAACTTTCAGAAAGCTTTTTTTAGCGTACTGTTTCGACCGTTAGTAAATGTTAAAAACAACATTTTGACACATATTGCAGGTATTTATTTTGGCAGGGGCATTGTTGTGGGATTGATTTAATTCATCTGTACTGAGAGTTTGTTGCATAAAGAACAAGTTCATAGTAAATGAAGTTCTTTAAATGTCATTAGAAGTAATACAATGTGCATCGTGTAGCTGAGGTACCCGCTTCTTGTTTTTATCTCTGTCTATTATGCCTTCAAACACAACATGCTGAAGAGTACATTTACAACAAACAGACCACTGCTAAGAAATGATTTGTCCCTTTTCTACTTGTCACCTTGGTTATCGCCCTCGCTCTCTCTCTCCTTCTCTCCCTCTCTCTCTCAGTATGTGGTGGTCGATAGCTCATTTCAACATTACCCAGCTGTCAGGGTCCATTGGTTCTGTCACTGAGTACTGCTCTATCTCTTACACACACACACACACACACACATATATATATATATATATCTATGTCGCCTTGAAGACATCGAACTTTTCTAATCTCAGTTACCGATTAGGGAGCGATGTGAGCTACACGTCGAATTGATCGAACCACTACTAAATGATATATGTGACTGGTGGATGGCTGCAATTTAACACAGCTCTGTTCCATCTGCTCGAACACAGATCTGGGATTTGGTTGAGAGCCTATTAAGGGTGTGAATGTTTGTATGTGGTTGTTTGTGTGGTTTGTAACTTCTTTAAGAATACAAAAATGTCACTAGAAAAAGATTCAACTTCATGCTAATTCTTTGATTTGTTACAATATTGAGTTTCTTAGTGGCAAAATGATAAAGACATATACCGTAGACATTTACTGTGGCATCTCCAAATTGATTCCATTTGCTGCGTGTTGTCCCCCTCTCTTCTTCTCTGTCTTTCCATATTTCCTCTCAACCTCGACTGTCACTTTCAATAAAGACTAAAAATGCCCCAAAAATTATCTAAAAGAGGTTTGTTACTGACTAAAACATGAACTGACAGCTCAGATTAAAAGCACAGAAGCCCCCTCAAAGTATACCAGACAGTGGAAATACAGTCTGAACACTATTTACTTGCCTGAGAAGTTTTGTCCTTTTATAGCTTTTTAACATTGAATCATGGTCAATTTATTTTGTGTTTTTTGACAAAAAAAAAAGCAGACAGATTTTAGCATAAGAAATGTCCATTAATTAAAATTTTGAATGAGTGATTGCATCAGTATTTTACCCCCTTTACCCCCTCCGCTCCAGGAGCAGGGCACTGAACATTGTCAGGGACTCCTCACACTCTCTCCATTAACTGTTTGAACTGCTACCATCAGGCAAACGTTTACAAAGCACTAAAGGAAGAACCTCCAGAATGATCAACAGCTTCACACCACAAGCTGTCAGAATGCTGAACTGCTATGCAAACACTTTGTTATTTAAATTGTTTTAAGTTATTGGATCCTGAAGAAACGCTCTCTCATCTTGCCTGTACTACTGTGTATGTACAGCAAGATGACAATAAACTTGATTTGATTTGATTTTGATTTGATTGATTTGAAGTAACCTTCTTAATTCAACACAGGTGCAGCCAACTGCTACCAGAAGTCATACAATTAGTGAAATGGAGATCAACCGAATCCATTAAATGTGCCTTAAGTGATGGTTTTATTGAAACACCTGCGTCTGGAAGATCCAGTCACTGGTGAATCATTGAATAAATTCTTGTCAATAACACTAAATTATAGTGATCATGATTCAGCGTTGAAAGAAATAAAGGGGGAAACCTTAAAAGAGGGTTGAATAATTTTTTATAGGCACTCTACACCAAAGTTGCATGAATGCCAAAACTCATATTAGAGATTACAGTGCAGCATAAACAAACTGAGCTTCTCTCCTTACTTACTCAGCCAATACAGATTCTTTTTAAAGCTATTTTTGATTAGCCACAAAGGATTATGAAAAGAAACTGCACACTTGTTTATTTTACTTGAAGACTAAAAGCATAATTATAATACTTGAAAGCAAAACAAGGTGATACATTCTCCGTCTACAACCATCAATCCAATGCCTCACACCAAAGCTCTGAAAGCACATCAAACGCAGAGCTGGAGAAACATTAGCAATAGTCATTAAACAGCTAAGAACAAAGAATGATACTGTGAGCTTTCTTACCTTAAAGTGGGCCAAACTATCCATACGTCCATAACACACATGGGTCTGACCAGATCATAGATGCTCGGGGTTTTTATCTACTTTTGATGCTTGTTTCTTACTTTCTTTTCAAGTGTTAATAGTCTTGTTAACTAAAGAATATTTGATGAGTTCATTTGCAAAACCAGATAACTCCAGTTTTGTAGATTTTCAGAAAACTTTTTTGTTGTGAAATGAAATGAAATGAAAAATACTTTATTTATCCCAGAAGGGAAATTCGATTGTTGTTGTTGTTTGCTTGAGATAATATCAATCAAACTGAAGTTGAGAGGATCTGACTCAGTAGAAATGACATGAAAACAATAGCGATATCTGAAGTTTGATTGATATTGTCTCAGGTAGACGATGGAAAAGTGGGTTTTCTGAAGGTTTGTGAAGATGGAGTCCTCTGTTTTTGCAAATGAACTCTTCATTTGATGTTGTGGCGATATTAGAGACTAGAGGTCAGCGTCATAACAATTTGAACTCATATTTCTGTTTTTCCCTACTTAGAGCTGCTGTGATTAGTCAAAGTGTTAGAGGTTTAGTAGACATTTATATTTAATTAGAGGTTACATTACTGACTTAAATAATAATCCCGTTTTAAAATGCTATTTTTTAAAAATGAAATTGGAGTTTTCAGTTGGACAGTTTAACGTGTAGACTTGTGTTTAGATTCTCTGCTGTGCTATATTATACAGTGGCACACACACACACACACACACACACGCACACACGGCTTCACAGTTAGAAGCAAGAATATAATTTCACTATTGTAGAGCCAGAAAGAAGAAGAAGAAGAGTCAGTTCCCTCATATCTTTTTTTTTCTTTTTCTAAAGCAAATTAGACGTCTTCTTCCATAATTGAAGTTCACTCATAATTATTCTCATGATGTAGGATAGAGTGTGCTGGTAGTTCATTGACTACTCACTCAGCGAGCATTAACCTAACACATCCCACTCCTTCGAAAAGGAGTAGCCGCAGCCAATGCAGTATTT